CCCCACAGCCTCAAATGCTCTCTCTTCAAACCACAAGGGAAGTACCTGGCCTGTGGCACGGTTCACTTGAAAAAGATTTCTTTGATGTTTATTATCTCGAAAAGCTACTCCTTGGGTTTCTGCAGACTCATCTGTTTCCCACTGGATCAGTCCTTAGGCATCATAACCAACCAAGTTGTTTTATTCTGGTGTTGCATTGTTTTCAGAGGGCTGAGATAAAGTGTCAGGGCTCTGCTTTTCACGCTGTGGTTCATGAACCTGCCCCGTGTGCTCTATTGACCACACTTCTCATTTTCCACAGTGCTGCTGTTCAAGGTCCCTGGACTGGGGACCTCGGCTTGTAAGCTCCCATTCGGACCGCTGTGACTTCGCAAGGCCAACACTGCCAACCCTAAAGCTGCAAACCCACAGCCAAAAACGTGGCAGGGCTGTTGCTTCCAGCAGGTTTTTTCACGCAGGGCACCGCCCCTCTGCATTTCTGACCATGCGGTGATGCGAGCCAGATTCGGGAGGATGACACAAAAATTTCCTCTTTAATTGTGTCACAAGGTATCACCGCCAGGCAATTACCAGCAGAGAAAAGAAGCCGCCTGTGTTATTTGATGGGAAGTAACCATGCGAAACCAGCGGTCCCACCCCGGGGCTGAGCTGAGGGGAACAGTCGAGCCCCCCCTCTCAGGGTAGCCCCGCACAGAGACCTCCCGCTGGCCGCCTGTGCCGGACAGCTGCCCCCAGCACCGTGCCGTGCCCGCCACGGCCCGCAGCCCAGGCCGCCCGCCGCCTGCCTGCAACCACCTCACGGCGGCCCCCGGGGTGGATGAGCCAGGCCCGGTGCAGGCAGGCGGGAGGGATGGCGAGGGAGGCAGAAACCGCCGCGGGGTTTCGGAGGAGAACGACGGCAGCGCCTCGGCCTCAGCCAGGCGCAGCCCGGCATGTGCTGGGGCGGCGGCCCTGCGTCGCAAGATGGCGGCGGCGGCGCCGCCACCAGCGCCCCGAGGCGCGGCCACCGCGCCCTCCCCGTTCGGCCTGAGCACCCGGGCGGGGCTTGCGCTCCTCCCGCCTCGCCCCTCGCCGCGCCGTAGCGCCGGCAAGAAACCCCCTCTGCTGTGGGGGCTTCGCCCCCGGCCACTCGCGGAGCTTCGCCCTCGGCACCTCGCCTCGGGGCGCGGCGCGGCGCGGCGCGGCTCGGCACGCCCCGCGGGCGGAGCTCGCCGCATCCCCGGGGCCCGGCGGCGGGGATCGCCGGGAGAGCCGTGAGTACGGGAGCGGGCCTGGGGAAGGCGGTGGGGGACGGCCGCGCCCGCCTCCCCAGCGCCTGCTGAGT